CCACCGGATATGCCCTGCACAAGCGCTACATCGCTGAACTGTTTGGGAACTACGCTGGAAAAGCCAGAATTTAGCTGGGAACTTTTTAGAAGGGTTGGTTTCAGAGTTTCAAAAAATGTCATTTGTAAAGTCTGTGGCTTGACAACTAAGATTTTAAAGGTTTTTTTTTCTAGTTATGCGATTTGTCTCTGCAAAGTTCCGGCGGGAACCAACCTTTCTTATCGGCCGTCGCGACGCCAGACTCTTCTCTTCTACAGTGCAGATCATCACTCAGCATTTATCATGTTTTTCCCTTTTTCTCGAATTCCTGTCGCTGGTATGCGGCGTCAAATAGCTACCAGCAGCATGGGCGAATTTTACTCACCTTTTAGACAGTAAGGCACCTTGTGATCTGGAAGTGGCGACATTCAAATTGACTTATTAATGCTTAGCATATATTAGTGACATCTCGAATCGGCTAAAATTTTGTAAAAGATGCTTTATCTGGGGGGTTTCTGAGCTGATATCCCCTTCAAGAGATGAAATGGACTCGAGGATCGCTATGAAGGTGGTCACAAGGCGATATAGCACTGGTTAAAGCAATCGGAAAAAAGCTGCTGCAGCATAATTGGAAAACGATGCTACTGATTTAGATGAACAAAATATCACATTAAAAGTTTACCTGCCGCTAACCAGACGTAGAGTTCAGTTGTTGATGGTGTCAAAATTGAAAGACGAATCCAGCTTAACCCGGTCTTCGTTCTCCCCCATGCTCCTCGCCAAGAACATTCACTGTTTGTATCTTTAAAATTTCTGCAGCACCTTAGCTCACCCTTTACGAGAGGCAGAGACGTCACGAGATAAAGTGTTAGCACTAGTCATCTATTGGTAAGGCTGGTAATGGCTCATTCTTCTGAGAATTGCTTAGAAACAAGCTGATGGCCTGTTGGGCGAGCCTCGCCTGGCACTGGCGAGTCAGCTGAGGACATAATTGAGGTTTACTGCTACCGACGAGCCAATCGGGGAACGTAAAAAAACAAACAGTGAATCAATCCTTGATCACTCACATTTATATACAGGATTTTAGCGCATAAATCAAGCATGATCACCGGGCAACGACCTTCACGAAACTTCTTGCCGAATCTGCGCGCGTTTGCATATCCCGCTTTGCCCAACAGGCCCCCTGACATGCGCCAGCATCACTTCACACGAAATGACTGAATAATTGGGCATCATGGACGGGGCCCTTTTATGCAACTGAACGTGCAGCAGGAAGGACTCGAGCATATCATCTTCACATTAGAATGCAGCATAGTGCTATTTGGGCACTGCAAACGGCCAGGGATCTTTTTTTCTGTAGCGACTTTTTTTGTGCCAACCTTTCTTGGCTTTCTGCGACACTGGTGGAAGTGTTGTCTTTCTCATTGCCAGAATCAAACCGTCGGAATTCAGCTCGACAGTAGCGCTACCTGCAACTGCACCTTAAATCCTAGCTGTCGCGTAATATATCAAATAATGATTGATAGGTTTTTGCTAAAAATAGATTAAAGACCAACTGCGTTACTGACGCAGTACCCCTGTCTCTGGTTCAAACTTTGACTACCCTATCCCCATTGAACTTTCGATCTTTGTCCCCTGGGGTATAAAAGCACTCCTCCCCATCGCCGGGATCTCCACTACCGCTTCAGCTGCAACTTACTGCTATATACTAATATTCCTATTCTGGGGAGCCTCACCTACGTTTAATGCCATATCCTTTTACTTTACTATGTATAATAAACATGTATATGGGACGCGACGTGTTACACACACATACACACACACACCTACAAACGGGCATACACTAATCTTGTAAGCCAACTATTAGAGTCGCGATATAGCATATTTCAAAAGTTATGGCTTCATAACTAGTGCCCTTTTGCTGTATGATTTGTTTCCGAGGGTTAGAATGATTTATTTCAAGAGCGGCTGTATGCAATTTGTTTCAGGAGCCTTACACGCCCTACACAGCATATCCACCATCCACTGTATTGACACCTGGACAACAAGCTGCCTGTCAAACGCTAGGTTTGAAGAAGTTTTTGCTTATATCACCTCTCAGCTGAGTGTATTTAAAGAGGTTTTGCATTGGGAGCTATTGAACAGTAACAGATCCATACTAAATTCACCCAATCTTTTGCATGAAAAAATTCCTGTTGCATTGATCAGAGCTTGGCTTTCTGAAGCAATTTGCATCGTTTAGCTTTTGTTTCAGTTTTATTCGCCTGTAAGTTAAGATTTCCAGAAATTCATGTTAACAATGCCTAGCTAGCTGCCTCTACCACGCCAAGATGAAGCGTCTGGGTTGGAATTTTGCGGGATTTATTGAAAATATTTGTTTTTTTTTAATGTTTTTTTCCTTATAATTATTTTGACTCTTTGAAAAGCTAATGAATTGTCACTGCGCTCCTTCTCGTCGCCTGCGCTGTGGGCAGTTTTTCGGTTATGTTAGTTTTTGAACCACCTCATTCATCGAAGTTTTTGAACCACCTCACATTAACGCAAAAATTAGTGTTATTGGACTTGAGACATTTTTATTGGTCTAACACAACGGCTGTCACACTGTCGAGGTCCAATCGCGGTGTTGAGCTAAGACATATATGACTTAATGGACCGAATCATCTTAACTCCCTCGTACTTAGTTCTTTCACACTAACTCTATATCCACATCCATCCATACTTAGTTCGCTCCATGCCTTCCCTCCCTATGCTCTCAATATGTATTTGCATGCCACAGTCATGCTCCATTCAGCTTAGAATCACCGTCAAAAAGAATCTCTGTTGTGAATAGCTCAAAATTCGATAGATCCGACTACTTCTGTGAAACGCATTTGTCATTTATATGTTTTTTTTAAGGCGTGGTTTGCACAGAAAAAGCGTTGCCTGTGCTGAATTCGATCAAAAATGCAAGGAAAAAACATAGCGCTGAGTTCCAGAAATTTGATGAACATATTTGGAAACATTTTCAAATTAACGGGCAGGTGAGTCGTCGCATTATCATACTTATAATAAGACGGGTAAGTTAGTTTTTTGTTAAGCTGATTATCGCATGATTGTAGCATGAAAATAATACGAAGAACTTAAAAAAGAAAGCAAGAATAGAGCGAACTATGTAATGCAAGATGTAGAAATATTGCTGGTACAGGAAAAATAAGTACGAGAGAGTTAAGACGTTTCGGTCCATGAAGTCATATACGTCTTAGCTCAACACCGCGACTGAACCTTGTCATTATGACGGTCGCAGTGTTCAGAGATGAGAAGAAGAGGGAATGGAACGCAGGAAGAAAGAAGAAGATAGGAACGGGAAGAATTTTTTAAAAAATGTAAATTTAGGGTATTTGAAAAAGATTAGGCGGGTTGTAATGTAGAAGTGGAAAAGTGTCGAGAGGAGGAAGTAGTAATATGAACGGAGCGCTAAATCAGCTAGCAAATGAGTATACTCTCAGATCAATGCATAAGTGTGCGAGATTTTCAAGCTGGCGAACAGACGAGTTGAATTGTTGAAAACCTGAGCTGATTTGTGATTTTAGTGATTAGTTAAGTCAAACTGTCAAATCGGCGAGCAGGCAGGGCATATTGTCACATTCGTTTTAGGTGAATTATACTACCAGATTAATGGGCAAATGAGTCAAAATACTATAAGCCGTGGGGTGGAGGTAGATTTTTATACTCGTAGGCACTTGTGAATGTCAGTGGCTCCTTTCTCAGGACAGTGTATTGGAAAGTTTTAATAACGGATGAAATAAGAATCAAAAAAAAAGCTAGGAGATGAGAACTAAAAAATTTGTAAATTAATAAAATTACTTTCTTTGTAGTTTTTAATAAAATTTTAATAAAAGTAATAAAATTATTTTTTGTAATTTTAATAAAATTTTGCAAATTAATAAAATTAATAAAATTATTTTAAGGAATGTTTTATTCATAGGCAGCCGTCTAGCTTCTCCATTTTTCACGTCGCCCATTCAGAAAATCTCCTCACAAAATACTGAAGGCAAATAACAACAATGTTGACACATTCACAAACAACAAGTTTTTCCACCAGTGAAGTGCACATTTGAATTCTAGAAAACGTGGGGAGGCAACATTCATATGGAAATACAGATTTACCCATTATTTGCGTTTTTTGTGCTACTGCATAATCGTTATTTTCAAGTGCCAGTCGCTAGTTGTGGTAACAGTTGTTCGTTCCACTTAAGTTCAGTCTTACATAAATAGCAACGCGCACTAGACTAGCCGGTGCGATTATGCGTCTTGTGCAATTCAGCCTATCAAACGATTGTCTGTTAATGATTTTCACTGCTTTGTACCTTAGTCTATGCAAAAATAGTTCAGACATTGGGAAATAAAGATTTCACGCACCAGCGCATGAAAGCTGAATTCGAAATCTTGAAGGGTGAATATCTTTCCGTGATTCCCGAGTGCATAGTTCACCCGCCAAAATTTTCACGAAGCCGTAGGTGATACTTTAGCGCGCGAACGCTGAATTTGAATGGGCAAGGTTGAGAGTGGGCAGGGGCTCATTACACTAAAATTTCAGCCTCCTAGATTTCGTGGTTCCCGAGATATTAATTTACCCGTAAGAAACTTTCACGAAGCCGTACGTGTTACCCGCGGGTACGGGAAGGCTGAATTTAAATTTGCCGTGTCACCAGCTGGCGGGAAACATTATTCCAAAATTTCAGTTGATTATCTTTCGTGGTTCCCGAGTTGCAAGTGCGGGACAAAATGTGGGACACACACACACACACAGACAGACAACCCCGTGACAATATGCGTTTTGTAATGCTGTTGCACAGCGTAGAACGCATAAAAATGAGACATTTTATTTTCTGGGACTTCTTGGATAGTGTTTTCGCCACGTAATGTCTTGACACATTTCATTTTCCATAACATCTCGAGGTATCAGTGTTGGGAATCTGTGATTTTTCCTTGCTATTGCAGTAAATTATCCGTTTCAGGACGATCGTACTTTCTCATGGAAAATGGGTGTTCGGCAGAAACTTCTAGCACTGATTCGTGAGGTAATCACTTAATTCACACTTTCTATAGTCATCCCACATCTGTTATTTGATGATTGATCATCTACGATTTTTGATCGAGTGGCATCATAGCCGCAATAGCATAGTTGGGAATATCGTTAGTGTTACGACCAGAAATACATTCGCTTGTTGATTAGCCCACTAGCAGTCTTGGGATAGCATTTACTTTGTTTTCTTCATCCTTTTAGAGAGGAACTTCTGTTTTACCATATTTTTTTCGCTTCACCCCCTTCTTATATTTCTTCATAACAGTTGTTTACCCGTGCAAAATGTGTCAAAAATCTTTTTGGCCAAAAAAAAGTGTGCCAAAAAAACCAAAAATTCAAAATTTTCAAAGCCATCGAGTCTTGAGATAGTAGGTCCATGAGTTGTGCGGTTATAAATGGGAACGACTACACTTTGCTTCTCTTCAGACAGTAATTTTCAGGTTTTTCCGGAGGCAGATTTAGTAGCTGTTGGCTCAACTGTCAATGGATGCGGTTCGTACAACTCAGACATGGATTTATGCCTTTGTCTGCCCATCACCGCTAATGGTTTTACGAGCGAAAGAACGTGAGTATTTTTTTGCACTTAGCATAGCGTATTTTTTGTTTTTCGTTTAAATATTTTCTTGTTTTAAGTAATATTTTCTGTATTTCCTACTTTCTGGATGATTTCATTGATCGGGTGAGTACAGTAAATTTTGGAATTGAGACTGCGAAATTTTTATGAATATTTGTTAAGGAAAATCCGTTTTATCATGGAATTAAAGAAAAAAAAATTTACTGTATTCATGAAATGAAAAAGAAAAAAAAAAACTGATTGGTAATGTTTAGTTTATGTGGTAATTGCTGATAACATTTTTAGCCTCAGTAGAAAAGTGTTGATGAAGTTGCATCGCAGATTTTGTAAAGATTGGCGCAAATTGGTTAAAAGTTGCGATTACATACCTGCTAAGGTAAGATACAGTTCTTGCTCTAATTTTTATACATCGCAATTCAATACGATTTTGAGTTGGCCTCATCCAAATTACTTTTTTTAACTGATTTTTTCCGTATGCTGTTTTCTCCGATTTTTTCTTGAAAATTACTGCAGCATTTAGAAAAGCTGAGGGTATGAAATAAAGTTCCCCACGCAAGGCTGCTGTTCGATGTTAAAGCATATTCGTCCTGTTCATATTTGATGAACCATCTTGAAAATGTTA